GTGTGTGTGTGTGTGTGCGCGCGCACATGCACCTTCAAGTCATTTTTGACTCCTGGCGACTGTCTGGCAAGTCCCTGCAATTTTCTTGACAAGATTTCAGAAGTGGTTTGCTATTGCCTTCTTCCAAGGGCTGAGAGTGAGTGACTGGCCAAAGGTCACCCAGCTGGATTCGTGCCTAATGTGGGACTAGAACTCACAGTCTTCCAGTTTCTAGCCTGATGCCTTAACCACTACACCAAACTGGCTCTCTTAGAAGTATATTTTACATGTTTTCAAATACCAGGATATAATATTTGTTAGTGTTTTTTAAAATGTTTTTCACATTTGTCTATATAGCTGTTATTAGTAAAGTTGCTTTTATTAGTAAATTTTAGTATTTATTTTAGCCTGATTCCTAACTGCCTGGTAGACTTTAGGAGAGAAAATGCCCATTCTCTGTAGTTAAAATGGCATAATTTCATCTCCGTAATACCCCTGTGAGATAGGTTGCATGGAGATTAATTAACCCACATATAGCAAGTCATCCCTGTGGTTGAGTGAGGACTTTAATCTGGGTCTCTCCAAATCTTAAAACTATTAAACATTAACCATTATACTACACTTGTTCTGCTTATTTTTATGATTTTTTTTTTAAACCCTATTTCAGTTGTACATATTCCTAAATTTTGATGTAGGAATTCCAAGTACATTTATGTTGCCAGGTATTTTCTTAGGAGCAAATTCTGAGTATTTATAGGCTGTATTGTTAAAAGATTCATTTCTTAAAAAGCATAATCTTAACTACTTCACTCTTGTTTGTAGTTAAATGCTATAATTTGTGAAACTGGAGACTGTAGAGAGCAGGAGTTCAGAGATCATGATGGAAACTGTGTATTATGTGAACAGTGTGGCCCTGGAATGGAATTATCTAAGGTATGTTCATATAAAATTCTGAAAATTATTTTCTTGATTTTTCAAGTATGACATATAGTAAATGTGCTTCCCCACTACAGATAGTGCTAAAAGAGCACATGTAAGTTAACTGTTTTGGAAGTTGCAGTGTTATTTACTAGAGAAGTCTTTTCATAGTTTAAGGGTTAAACATGTATTTATTCATTCAGTTATTCATTCATTCATTTGATTTGATTTGTATGGCCCCCATCTCACCTAAATGACTCTGGGTGATTCACAACAGTTAAAACAACAATTCAATAAAAAACAAGTTAAAAATCAGTATACAAACATATATAAAACATGGATAACCAATTTAAAACAAAAATAACCATGGTCAGTGGCCAAAGTCCATCCTTGCATCAAGCTCAACAAAGCCATTGTAAAACCTCCCCACTACTGCTGGAGCCCCAAGCATGGTGGCAGAGCCACGTCTTCAGGACTTTCCTAAAGGCCAGCAGGTTCAGGGCCAATCTGTGTTCTGGGTGGGCACTATAGCAGAAAAGGCTCTCTTCCTGGGTGCTGTCAGATGACACTCCTTATTAGGCAAGTCCCAAAGCATGCATCTACTGCCGATCCTGATGGGATGCATGGATGTAAATTATGAACAGTTTGATATTTGGAAGAAACATCTTTTTAAAAATGTGGCTTTATTTTTTTTTACTAGATTCTGGTTGACAGAAAAAAACAAAATGGAATAGATTTACTTTTAAAAAATCAGTAAAAATTCTTTTTGTTAAGAAAATTCTTTTTTAGCATTAATAAGTGTCATATCTACATTTGAATGCCACTGAACGCTTTTTTTTCAGAAACATGTTTTCAGTAATAGTCAACATATAAGGAGAGTTCTTGTTAGAAATGATTGATTTATCTAACTTTGTGGATTGTGGAAAAAGTAGCAGACAGTAATACAGAATTACACATTCTCAAAAGGTAACAGTCAGAACTAGTAAATTTCAGAGCAGTAAAAAAGAGGAGAAATTGCCTTCTCTCCAAATTCTTTAGGTTTCAGCTGGTTTAATTTGTGGATGACTCAGGAATTAATGGCGCTTAAGAAATTCTTTCCTGCTACTGGGCAAATCCTGTTTTATTTTTTTCAAGGGGGAATGTAATTTGAAAGTTATTTCTAGTTCCAACTTGTTTATTTATTAATTACAATGTATATCTTACTGTTCAGGACATAAACCTCAAATATTGGCCATATCAGTTTCTGAAAAATCTCTCTTTGATAATTTCTGATGAAGTCTTTCTATTTTGTTCAGTTTTCTGTGCTCTAAACACCTGGTAGATCAATCTCTTTGCTTTTTGCATAGTAATGCCTAAAGAATAGATCAGGAAATTGGTTTATTATATATGCTACTTAAGAAGTATCTTCTATATCTTTGGGAAATTTTTCGAAGAGAAGACTATGTCTAGGTACAGTATGTAGATTTCTGAGTAGTATTTTTAAGAATAGTCTTACCTTTAGTTTAGCTGGTATTTTACAGAAGGATGTGCGAGCTGTTGCTATCATTACAATTGTTCATGATAGGCTCTCTATCACAAACAATTATAATAGTTTGGTTTATACACAGCAATTTATATATACATCTAATATATGAAACATTGAAAATAATTTATTTTAAAATAGGTCATAAATGACTTTGCAAAATGGCCACCAACTATGGCTAATTAGATGTGTAAATGTGAGGGAACAACACTGCACTCATTTTTTAAAACAACAAATAAATAGTACCTTCTGTAACATCTTGTATATATTGAACAAAAAGAATTAAAACAAATTGTAAAACAAATTGTAAAACAAGTTGATTCATACTCAAGGTAGTTCTTGATCAGGTTAGAAGAGAATCTATTTTCTTACAAATCTTTCTTGTGATTCTAAATAAGAAGCAAAACTAAGCAATCATATTTCATTTATCAACAGGCATAGCCCTAATCCAGATCCTGTCCAAAAGCAAAGTAAATAATTGTATCTAATAAGTCTGGTATAAAGTAAAGTAAAGTGAAATATTACTTATTTCACGCGAAGCACTGGGCAGGACTAGTCTGGCATCAGAAATTTACAGGGAGAAACTGAAAAAAGGTTTTCCAAGAAAATAAAAAATGGGATAAAAAAATTTCTTTTTTGATGTTCATAGCCTAGCTTTTCCTTCTGTTTGGGTTTCTGGCCAACTTTCTTGTCTATGAATTTCATTGGTTTGTAATCAGAAAAATAGTTTCTGGAGAAGGAGAAATCTGTAGATTCAAAAGGGTTTATTTGTATTTTGGAATTCAAACAAGCTAAAAGGCCATGCTGATAGAGAATTCTAGGGATTGAAGTTCACATTTCTGGCGGTATTAGAATTATTTATTGATATGATTTTTATTTAACACCGAACAAACAACTCTCAGTGGTATTCACATTAAAAAGTCATTATATATATATATAATGTTAAAAAACAATTCAACAAATGATCATTTAAAACAGCAATATGATATTATACAAAATATTAATGGTGTTATTCAGCTACTTTAAAGCTGTTCAGAAACTATGTTTTAACCTGCTCCTGGAACGCTAACAGAGTCAGGAAAAATCTAATTTCCTTGGGGATTCCATTCTATTATTTTGGGGCTGTCACAGAGAAGCACTTCTTCCTTGTTCCTCCCTCCCTCAATGTCTCAGTGGGGGGTTACAAGCAATTTCTCCTGAGATATTCTTGTCAAACAAGTTGATCCTAACTGAAGAAGGAGATACTATGGCACCAAACTATATAGGAACTTATAGGTCAAGAACAGCACTTCAAAATGTACACAGAAACGAATAAGCAGCCAGAGCAGGGCCACAGTGCAGGTTTATTGTGCTCATAATGTCCCATAGAAATTAATGCACAGGCTGCTGCATTTTCCACCAATTGCAGTTTCCAGTCTGTAAGGGCAGCCACATTTAGTGTGTATTGCAGTAGTCCAGACATGTAGCAATGACAGCATGAATCACCATCATAAGATGCTCCTGCTCCATTTAAGGCTGCAGCTGGACCAGCTGGCCATGGCTCTTATTTGCCCATTGAGTAGTAGCCAGCAATCCAGGAGGATCCCCGAGTCATGGGCATTCTCTCTTAGGATCACTGCCACCTGCTGGAAAGAGAACATGGGATCAGACAGAGAATCTCAGTGGATATACAGCAACTCTATCTTGCTTGGGTTTAGTTTCTCCTGTTTCATCCAATCCAGATTCTAATTGCCTCCAGATATTGAGACAAAATATTGATCACATTGCCAGACTGGTGCTGTATCTTTGAGTTTCATCAGCAATTTGCTGATACTGCACCCCAAACTGATAGATGCTTCTCCCAGTGGTTCCATATAGATGTTAAAAAGAACTGAGCCCTGTAGCACTTCACAAGTAACAGGTCACCAAGCCGATCTTTCTTTCTCTATGATCAACTGGGCCTGCCTGCTTAGAAAGGAATTGGAGCCCCTGAAACCTTCTGTCACCAACCACTGCAAGCAGTCCAGAAGAATATCATAGTTAATGGTATCAAAGGCACTGTTCGCCTTCCATCTAAGCCCTGACAAAAGTCATTACCAAGGTGACCAGTGCAGTTTGTTTCCCATGCCCAGGCTTGAACGCTGAGTGAAAAGCATTCCAATTATCCATTTCCCCTAGGGTGCTCAGTGGTTGCCTTCCTATCTAGAAAGGAAAGATGGATATGAGATTATAATGGTCCAATACAGCTGGATCCATGGAGGGTTTCTTGAAGAAGGAGAACTTCAGTCTCCTTCAAAGATACAAGAAAAAACCTTTCTGAAGTGAGGCATTAATCACTCCTCAGATCCAGCTGACTCCTCCCCACCCTTAAGGAACTAGAAAGTGTCAGGGAACATACTAGCAGTCACTGTGTCTGTTTCCTCAGAATCCACAGGCCAAGAAGAATCCAAGTTAACATGGCCAGACAATGCCCCGACATTATTAAACACTCTGCCTATGAAGAGTCAAGACTTTTAAATATCTGAGTGACTTTAATGACAAAGTACTGTGCAAAAATGTGATAACTACCTAGCGGTAGATCCTATTTATTTTTATTTATTTATTGTGCAAATTTATATTCCCTTCTTGCAAACAATTCCCATTAGGGAGCAGTTTTTAGAGAAACTGCAGGGCTATCTTAATAACTTTTTAAAAGTTTGCCCACACTTTTTTATTTGATAGAATTTTATGCTGCTTTTTATATTCTGATACTTTATTTAAGTTGTTTGGTTATGTACAGTTTCATATATTTTATGTGAACCTCTATAGAAGTATGTGTTCCAGAATGTTATACATGTTTTTTAAATTAGGTATTTTGCACTATATTTTTAACATTTTATTTAGTTCTATAGTTTTTCCTATTAATTATATAAATTCTAAAATAAATCTAAGCATTTTTGTTGGTCATATATACTTTCAGCTTACCTAAGCAAGTTTATATTAAATTTATTTTTCTGGTTTTTATATAATTGCTTGAAAAATTTCACATGCTGGCTTCAAAATTTTGACATTGTTGGCATAGTTTAAAAATGGACATGTCAGTAATTTCCATTAAGTTTATAAGAATGTAGCAGTGGGAATCCACTGAGTCCTTTTTCATTAAAATACTAGAAGTTTCTCAGATAAAGTGGATAAATAAGTATTGCTGCTAAAAGTAAAGTGTTGTCCATTGCCAAACCCATTGGCAATGGACAACACATTAGGACCTGCTGAAAAGATTACTTTTATCTCTAGAAAGTTTTTATTTTCAGAAATAATTACACTGAGGCCTCGTTCATCTTTGTTGCTTCCCATTATTCATGTCTCTAAGTGTCTCAGTAGTGCTTGTTAATCCCTACAGGAATGCGGTTTTGGATATGGGGAGGATGCCCAGTGCATGACATGCAGGCCAAACAGGTTCAAAGAGGACTGGGGCTTTCAAAAATGCAAACAATGTTTGGACTGTGCTTTAGTCAATCGATTTCAGAAAAGCAATTGTTCTGCTATTAGCAATGCTGTTTGTGGAGACTGCTTACCTGGGTAAGTTACAGAAGGAATTATGAAGAACTGTAAATAAGTTATATTCTTAGTTTTTACTGGCTCTGCCACTTTAAGTTGTTAAGTTGTCTTTGTACATTGCAGTGAAAACTTGTTTTAATCGTCTAATTGAGAGGAGGAAATGTCTGTTCTTCCCAAATGTCTGTTAAATATAATAAATATTTATAATAATAGTAAATACATTTATTTTCATTGTAGAAATTATGCAAATTATATCATTATGCAATTTTCATTACACGACTGATGCTAATTGACATGTAAAATTGGCCCACTGGATATTAAGTCCATTGCATCGAGGTCTGTAAAATTGAGATTTTCCTCCTACAACCTCCTCCAAATGTGATAGTTGGTTACATTCTGTAGCATTGCTCTTAGGGTGTTCTGGTGAAAAGTCATCTCACGCAAAACTTTCTTTTCTTCAGAATTCCAGCAGTGCATGTTGTTCAGATATGTATGAAGGAAAGATAGGAATTTGGCTGATACGATAAGCTCTGTTTAGGTGGACAAGTGGAGGTCTTCAAAGTGGTCAGAGAAGAGTTGCTCACACAGCCCTCCCCCCTCCCTGACCTCCCAGTAATCAGTTGGAGATCTGAAGAAAAGGTTAATTTATGTTGGTTTCAGTGTGATTATACCTCTCAACATAATCTGAGAGTCTAATAAATTAGCTTTGCAGATCACATGGAGAATTATACTAACATTCAAGCAAATGCAAGTGCAGTTCCCCTTCAGATCTCCACCTGACACATGGAGATAAGGGACAGAAAGTGGCAGTGATTAACACCAAGCTGTAGTAAAACAACTGATGACAAAACAAAAGTTTTACCAAATCCACCTCCAGATTTCAGGCCAAAGCCTTGAACTTGTAGGACTTGGGGGCAGCTAGCCCAGAAACCCCTTTTTTGTTTTCCCCAGAATACACTGGGTTGCACTACTGAATTTGCCAAAATTGACACACTTGTTTCCCACCATTTTTAGTTAGTTCTGTACAGTACTGCTCAGTGCTGTTCACCATTTTTTAAAAACAATCTCCTTAAAACTTCAGAAAAAAAGGAAAATCCTGCCCACACTTATGTATTTGATATAACCCTGCTCATTTTTCATCATTGCTCTGCTCACCGTTGCTGTCATTTTTCTGTCCAATAAAGTCCTAAAATGGTATCCCAGCCTACCAGAAGATTGTCATTATCTGAACTTGCTTAATCTCACCTTATTTGACCCCCTATTATTTCAAGGTCATTTTATTGCTCTTTATTAGCATATTCCAGTATTATGCTGCATTTTTCATATATGAGAAATGTGATCTTTTTCTTCTATCTTCCAGATTTTATAGAAAGACAAAGCTTGGGGGCTTTCAGGATATGGAATGTGTTCCTTGTGGCGACCCACCTCCTCCTTATGAACCACACTGTAAGTGCTTCTGATTATATTTAGGTTCTAATATTTTAAAGAGTGTTGTAGTTTTGTTAAGAAATAGCTAAACATTTTTTGATACGCAAGGACCTTCTGCCAAAAAACATCCCTGAAGTAAACTACAGTATAAGAAAAAGAATGTCTGGTTATATTGTATGCTATAACCCTTTCATTTATTTATAGTTGATAGGTGTGTGGGAAACCTACTATTCTAAAAACATTTTTCCTCCAGACTGTACCTTTCAGAGTTCTCCAGAACTTTTAATTCCTGGAATGGTAAATATGCCCATACCTAACAGAAGATGAAAGTAACAGGGAAATGAGGGGAAGTAAAACATATGGTTGTGTGATGGACTGGAATGGTGGGAGGGGAGTAAAGAATGTGCTCTCATCTCCAGAGGAGCGAGGAAGAGATAAGCGGAGGAAACTGGC